TGCGGCCTTAATAAATTTTACATACAGTATACAATCATTGAGAAGGTCGTTTATGAACAAATTGTTAATTTTTAGAACAAAATAAACTTATTACTAAAATACAATCGGGCTTCAGAAGCAAACAACTGTGAATCAGCTATCCAGTGTGTTTTATATGAATGAAAATATAAACACAGCTTATACAATACAGCTCCACAACTCCGTGTCGGCGTCTTTGATCTGGCGGTCGAGAACCAAGCAAGACGGAATGGTGCTATCTCTGTTAGATTCGAGGGAAAAGTCGGGCCCGGATTAAACAAATTTTTTATTATTGAAAAAATTGAAAACCTTGGCGTAATAAGGTTGGTTACATGCCATATTAAGTAAGTTTTGGGAAATTAAATTTTTAATTTGTTTTAAATCTGTCAAATATAATTAGAAACATTATTTAAATATAAATATTACGAAAAATAGCACATCTTTCGGATTAGAGGTAATAGTATATTACATTACGAGTGTGGAAAGTGACATTTTTCACACGAGTGGGAAATATTGTCGCACGAGGCGTAAGCCGAGTGCGACTATCACACGAGTGTGGAAAATCACTTTTCACACAAGTGATGTACAATATTTTTCCTACGACCACAAAATAATTTCATCAAAAAATGTAAAACCAGATTATTATAATAATTAAAATGTATTTAAAAAAATAATCAACAATAATCGTATTTATTAAATTTTCATAATTTCTAAACAAATAAAAAAAATAAAAAAAAAATTCTGGCACAGCCAGGATTCGATCGCGGTCGTTGGACGGTCTCAAATTGCAAAGTTGATGCTCTAACCAACTGAGCTAACAGGCCTTACGGTAATTGATTGATCTAATCGCTTATGTGTTTAACCAGAATAAAAAGCAAATATATCTTAGTTATTTTAAAATTATTTTAAAAATAATTGTTAAAGATAAATATCTAGGATCTAATTTACAATAATTTAACAATCATATCGATTTTAGTATTAATATGGACATTACATAGATCAAAATAGAAATTATGTGTTTGACATTTTCTGACAGCTACTGCGGAAAGTAGCATATTCTCACTTGGGTGGAAAGTAAATTCTTATTCATACGCGTGTGATATAGGGCACTTTCCATAGGTCTATATAGTGTGATATGTGTCACTTTCCTAAGTGGTCGTAGGAAAAATAATTTGTATGTGGCTAGTAAAATCCTCGTTAACAAATGTTTTGAGCTAAAACAGTCACTTCACGACAAATTGTGGCTTGGATCCTTTTTACACCAAGGGCTTCAATTGTTAAAGAATTGTGTCACGCTCGTGGATGCAAATCAAGTGGTACCCCGTGTCTCTGGCAAGTGTTACTCTTCGCGCAAAGGGTTTATACCTAGATAAACGAATGCTTCGACTGAGGTCTGGGAACTCTATGGTATTTTGGAATTATAAAGAATTTGTGCTTTTATTTTAACAATATTGGTTATATTTAGATGTATTCTTATTAATTGAAATACAGATTTGTAGAAGTAATACTTTGACAGTTTTTATTAATATGATATATTCAATTTTTATCTGACCATACCGAAGTAGGGAATTTTGAAACTTTATAGTAATGTGAAATTTGAATTACAATATTACACGATATTACATAATTAGTACTTATTTTAGGTAGGTACTAAATTTGTACTTGGAGAAAGTAATATCGATTTTTACAAGAAAACTTGAAAAGTAAATTAATTTAGTTCCTATTTCTGATGTAAAACTTAAGTTTTGGTTTAAACCAAGAAAACAAATAAATTATAGTTTGTTCAACAAGGGTGGATATGATAGCAATATCACACAAAGACGAAGTTTGAGCACGACGTCGTATGCGGAGTACTCAATCGTCTGATTGTGATATGAACAATCCACTCGATATGGTCAGTATATTTTTTCTACGACCCACTAACGAAAATCTACAAATTAAAAAAATTATTTTAGGTTATTTAGACAAAATAACTAATTTTAAAATAATTTACGAAGTTGACTAATTTATAAAATAAAATTAACATGAAAAATTAATTAGTCCTCGGCCTAGATTCGATCCCGGGCTTTTCGCGTGGAAGGCAGATGCTCTGTCCTCATCTTCACCGAAACTTTCAGGACTTTAGTTTTAATACTCGTAATTAAATTAGTATCATGTAGTTTGATTAAAATTTATTTTTTTTTAAATGTGGACACAATAAAAACAAAAATGCTATTATTTATCGAGTCTACACAAAAATTTTAATGTATATTTAATATCAATAACTAAAATATATATTGACAATTAGTTTAACAGAATTGTCACTTATTTAAAAAAAATTAAATAATAGGAGTTGGGTGACCAAAATATGAACTGTGATTTGTAGATTTAATTTTGTTAAAGTGTTCTCACTACCTAAAATGGATATGAAATATATTCGTAGTTGAACGCAATAACATACTTTTTCGTTTTGTAGTATGTGCATAGATTGGCTAATATCCATGCACAGATTACAAAACGAAAAAGTATGCTATTGCCTTCAATTGAACGAATATATTTCATATCCATTCTAGGTAGTGAGAACACTGCAAAAAAAAATAAATTCGCCAATCACCGTTCATATTTTGATCAACCGACTGCTATTATTTTTAAAATTTTAAATAAATGACAATTCTGTCAAACTAATTGTCAGTATATTTTTTAGTTATTGAGATTAAACATACAATAAAATAAGTTATTCTTTTGGAAAACGTTAGCATGGATGACTAAAGGGTATTGGGTTAATTAATTCTAAAAGTGTGGTACAAATGTTATTTTTTGTAGCCAATTCTTCAAAATTATTTTGAAATATCTTTTCAATATTGAATATTAGTTCTACAAATTCATCATTTGACAGTTGCAGATTTCCAAATTTATCTGGATTGGCGTTATCATATGCCTTTAAAAAGCAATAAAAAGAAAAATCATCTAATTCAACGTGATCTTTGTTATATTTAAGACAGGTATCGCAGAGGAGTGGATCCGCAAGGCTTTTATTAAAAGGTAACCACACACATACCTGATAAAATTTTTCTGTATCAATTCGTCTTTACAATAATTTAGGGTGTTAATAATTTTATCATAAAATAAAATACAAGGTGTTCCATTTAAAAAACATACATTTTAATTTGCCAGGCAAAAACTTGACACCCTGTATATCCAAAGATATTTTTAAAATATGTAGGTATTTTTCAAATCCATATAACTTTTATTTAAAACTTTCTTGCGTGTCTACAACAAAATAATGAACAATAACGCACTAATGGGATACCCTGTATAAATTATATTTTTAACAATGAAAATTTCTTATAATGTGGTACTTATCGGTTTGGGTCCTTGGGAAAACTAAAGAATGTTTTCTTGCAGGTATAACCCTTATTAAAACAGCTTTTGACTGCACAAACAGAATGATGTCTTTTTTTTTCACTCATTCTACTCATAGCTAAAGAGTCACCAAAATAATAACTTAAACAAAATCAACGAAATTATTGGCTCCACGAAATTATACAATCAACGAAATTATAGGCTCCACGAAATTATACAATCAACGAAATTATACGCACGACTCAACACCTTACCTAAGTACGCTTCTGAACACCAAAACCGTCTTTTCCCTTCGAAGGCGGAGCTTAAGCGATGCGCGACGAAATCGACGCAAACCGTTGCCGCCAAGAGAGTGTTTTAGCTGTATTGTATAAGCTGTGATATAAATTTGATAAAAACTATCTTAACATTGGCAGTTTTTATAGATCTTCAAATGGCATTCGAGACTGTTGATCAAAACAGCTTGATAAAAAAATTGAAAAGTATGAGTATAGTAGAACAAGCATTGGAGTGGTGTGTGGATTATCTAAGTAAGAGAAAACAAAAGTTAAAAGTAAATAACATTTTGTCAGAGGAAATTAACGATATCAGAGGTGTTCCGCAGGGAAGTATATTAGGTCCCCTGTTGTTTTTAGTGTATATCAATGACATTGTTGATTTCAAGGGTCAATGTGACATTCACCTGTTTGCTGATGATGCCCTAATATATTTTTCTTGTAAGTTTTCAGATAACTTGGTAAGAGTTGTTAATGAAACACTGCAACATGTTTATAAATGGTGTTGCAATAATTTGTTGAAAATTAACACAAATAAAACAAAATGTATGCTGATAAGTAGCAACTATAACTATACACAGTTTGTTGATAAACAATATAACATAAGAATTGGAGGAAATTCTATACAGTTAGTAGAAAAATTCAAATACTTAGGGGTAATGATTGACAAGCAGATGAGATTCATAGATCATGCCAACACTGTTATCAAAATTATTGCATTTAAGTTAAATTTTCTATTTAGAAGTTTATTTGGCTTATCACAGTGGATTAAATGTATTATATATAATAATATAATTCTACCTCACTTTAATTATTGCTCTACAATACTCTTTTTACTAAATCAAAATGAGTTGAACCGACTACAGAAGCTGCAGAATAGGGCTATGCGAATAATATCCTGTTCAAAATATACTTCCATTAATCTAATGCTTGAAACTTTGAGTCTCTTATTTATAAAATTAAACACGGGTTACTTTCAATGTACCCAAAAGAGAAGTTTAATTATCACTTTAATGTGCACAATTATCCAACGCGGAACAGAAATAACTTTTATATTGAAACAGTTGTTAAGAGTGCAACACAAAATTCACTATTTTTTAAAGGTCTAAATCAATATAACGCACTTCCAGAGAAAATTAAATCAGTAACTTCTGTAACTACATTTAAAGTCAAAGTGACAGATTTCTTAATTGATGAATATTTCTCCAGAAACAGTAACAACCTATAGAATTTTAGTTAGTTTTAATTGTATCTAAATTATCTGTGTTTTGACTTATAAGTATACTTTTACTAAATTTGTATATTAGCAAACTAGCTAAATAAACGAAATAATAATAATAATAATATTTATTAATCGCAATTCAGGTTTCGGTCGCTCAAGCAGACCGAAATTCAGCCTCCACAGTCAAAAAGCGGAACAGCAATTCGTCCAATCCGTAGAAGAATGGCGAAAGGAATTGAAACTGAAAGAATTCATCCTTGTAGGCCACAGTATGGGTGGATTTCTAGCCGCCTCCTACGCCATCTCTCATCCAGATCAAGTTAAACATCTCGTATTAGCTGACCCTTGGGGCTTTCCAGAGCAAACCGGTGAATTTAAAGAAATTCCGCTTTGGATTAAAACTATTACGTATATAATGAAACCGTTTAATCCATTGGCTGGTATCAGGGTAGCAGGACCGTTAGGTAAAAATATGAAGCACATAAAGAAGGACCAAAATATTGTGTTGTTTTTTTAATTTTTAGGACCGTGGTTTATTAATAGAATCAGACCAGATATATCCAAAAAGTATGCAGTAGCGTTAGATGATCATAATTTAATAACTGAATACATATATCAATGCAACTGCCAGTATCCCAGGTTTGTATTTTGCATTCTGCTGTACTATTAATACTAACAGATTGTTTTTTTTAGTGGTGAAGGCGCTTTTCATTCCATGATGTCCGATTTCGGTTGGGCAAAGAATCCCATGGTTAGACGAATAGACAGATTGAGGGAAGACGTTCCTATTACTCTTTTGTATGGATCTCGGTCGTGGATTGATCATTCCGCAAGTGATATTATTAAAGACAAGAGAATGAATTCGTTCATCAAAATACATGTAAGTCCTTTTTTAAAATGTCAACTAATTGCTATAAATGAGTAATAATTCAATATAGACTCTATAGGGTAGTTGTAAAAGTTATTATGATCATTTTAAGCCGAGTTTATTTCTTAATTCTAGCGATGCACACGATATTATGCTACATATACATTTTTTATTTATTTCCAAAGCTTATTGTTGGATTTTGATTCAGTAAAAATCTTTAGGTTCGAGATAGTGGACTGTAAAATAATAAAAAACTTTTCTTATGTTTGGACTTACCTTAGGGCTTTTACAACGTATAGGGACGATCTGCCGGTAGTTTGGAACTTTTTCCATCTCGCAATTTACGAATTTTGGTTGAGAAGTGCCAAACTGCCAGTCGGCCGATCGTCATACACGTTGTAAAAGCTCAAGATATACCTAAAATAATTTCAAATATAATGAAAGATTTATTGTTATCACATCAAATAATTATACAGTCCACTTGGCTCAGTAAAAATCTTTTCATATGAGATAAGATCCACATATACATTTTTTTATCTCCAAAGCTTTCTTTTATATAGAAATTGGTTAATATTTGTAAATTATTTAGTGACAACTAGTTTCGGTTAGCATATTCATCATGAGACATAGAAGAGAAATAAAACATATTTTTAATGATAAATTATTGGAAAAAGTTATTAATATAAATGATTATAAAATCAAAAACTATAATAAAAGGTGTCATAGCAAATAACTGTAAAACAGTTTAAATGGTATGTAATAAAAATCTGATGTGTCCAACACAGGCCTTTTCCGATTATTTTGTATAACCTATTGTATATCACCCCTGTAAATGTTTATATATACATTTTTCACATACATCTTACTTAAATAGAAAAAAATTTATAGAGAATGATAACGCAAACAATTTTTATTCGAGCAATTTTCTTCAAAATTCGAAATTTGCACTTTTTCTCAAATATCTCGAATACGGTCCATTTTAGAGAAATTATGTATATGACAAAAATTATAGAGAATAATATTGCAAGCAACTTTTATTTGAAGTATTTTCTTCTCCAAGCGTAAATAACAGATATATTCCATAAAGTAGAAAAACGATCCCCTATAAAGTACCCCCAAGATGTTCAGACTATGTCCAACATTTAATCAGTTCACCGCAAGTTGTATTAAAGCTTATATTTAAAATTTGGTGTTTTTCTCTTTATCCGTTTTTGAATTATCTTCAAAATTCAAAATTTGCACTTTTTCCCAAATATCTCTAATACGGTCCATTTTATAGAAATTATGTATATGACAAAAATTATAAAAAATAATATTAGAAGCAACTTTTATTTGAAAAATTTTCTTCTCCGATCGTAAATAACAGATGTATTCCATAAAGTATAAAAACGACCCCCTATAAAATACCCCCCAGGTATTTCGACTATGTCCAATTTTTAATCATTTCACCGCAGGTTGGTTTAATACTTAAATTTAAAATTTGGTGTTTTCTCTTTACCCGTTTCTGAATTATGTTTAAAATTAAAAATTTGCACTTTTTCCCAAATATCTCGAATACGGTCCATTTTAAAGAAATTATATATATGACAAAAATTATAGAGAATAATATTTCAAGCAAATTTTATTTGAAGAATTTTTTTCTCTAAGCGTAAATAACAGATATAGTTCATAAAGTAAAAAAATGACTCCCTCAGATGTTCCGACTATGCCCAAATTCTAATCTGCTCACCGTAGGATGGATTGAAGCTTGAGTTTAAATTTTGGTGTTTTTTCTGTTTACCCACACTCAAATATCGCGAAAATAGTAAAAATAGATTCAAGGGATCTCCAACACTAAAAAAACCATCGAAAACATCTTTATACAGACAGGAAAGTAAAAATCTAAAACCATCAAACATGGGATTTATCTAATATAAAAAATAGTGGTGTATAAAATATTATTTTATCAACTATAAACTTTATATTATTGTTGTGAAGAAGTTTAAGTGACATGTAAACTTTTTCACAGTATCACCATTAACTATTTTAAATTGTTATTTAACTATAACTTTGTAGATTGTTGTGAGGCAGTTTAAGTGATATATCAGTATCACCATTAACTATTTTAAAGTGTTATTTAGTTATAAACTTTGTAGATTGCTGTGTAGAAGTTTAACTGACATAACAGTATCACCTTTAACTATTTTAAATTGTTATTTAACTATACAACTTATAGATTGTTGTGAGGCAGTTTAAATAATATATAACAGTATTACCATTAACTATTTTAAATTGATATTTAGCTATAAACTTTGTATATTGCTGTGGAAAAGTTTAACTAACATAACAGTATCACCATTAACTATTTTAAATTTTTATTTAGTCATAAACTTTTGTAAATTACTGTGAAGAAGTTAAAATGATATGTAACAATATCACCATTAACTATCTTAAATTGTTATTCAGCTATACATTTTTGTAGATTGCTGTGAAGAAGTTTAAGTGATATGTAACAATATCACCATTACCTATTTTAAATTATTATTTAACTATAAACTTGGTAGATTTTTGTGTAATATATCGTTACCTTTTTGCCAGACTAACATAAGCGACATTTATTTAAATTGAACTTACGATAGTCCGGCAAAAAGGTATCGATATAACTACTTAGTTCAAAGCTAAATAACAATTTAAAAGAGTTAATGGTGATACTGTTATGTCAGTTAAACTTCTTCACAGCAATCTACAAAGTTTATAGCTAAATAACACTTTAAAATAGTTAATGCTGATACTTATATATTAATTAAATTGCCTCACAACAATCTACAAAGTGTATAGTTAAATAATAATCTAAAATAGTTAATGGTGACACTGATAAGTCAGTTAAACTTCTTCACAGCAATCAACAAAGTTTATAGCTAAATAACAAATTAAAATAGTTAATGGTGATACTGATTTATTAATTAAACTGCTTCACAACAATCTACAAAGTGTATGGTTAAATAACAATTTAAAATAGTTAATGGTGATACTGTTATATCACTTAAATATTTTCACACCACTCTTAAAAGTTTATAGATAAATAACAATTTAAAATAGTTAATGGTGACACTGTATAACACTTAAACGTTTTCACAGCAATCTACAAAGTTTTCAGCTAAATAACAATTTAAAATAGTTAATAGTGATATTATTACATATCACTTAGAATCTTCATTGCACTCTATAAAGTTTAAAGCTAAATATTAATTTAAAATAGTTAATATATCACTTAATTTCTTCACAGCAAAAACAATTTGCTTTTTATCGTGTATCATCGGCATCAACTGCTAAGATTATTAGCTGCGTCTTCTCTGCAGGATTTATTACTGTTTCCCAGCGCCACTTTAGGCATAGCACTGCTAATTAGAATCATTATTATTATTTTATTTTAAGTTAATATAATTTTCATGTGGTAACTGGAGCAGTCGTAATACTGTTATATATCACTTAAACGTCTTCATTACAATCTATAAAGTTTACAGCTAAATAACAATTTAAAATAGTTAATGGTGATACTGTTATATATCACTTAAACTGCCTCACAACAATCTACAAAGTGTCTACTTAAATAATTTAAAATAGTTAATGGTGATATTGTTATGTCAGTTAAACTTCTTCACAGCAATCTACAAAGTATATAGCTAAATAATACTTTAAAATAGTTAATGGTGATACTGTTATATATCACTTAAACCGCCTCACAACAATCTACAAAGTGTATAGTCAAATAGCAATTTAAAATAGTTAATAGTGATATTGTTATGTCAGTTAAATTTCTTCACAGCAATCTACAAAGTTTATAGCTAAATAACAATTTAAAATAGTTAATGGTGATACTGTTACATATCATTTAAGATTTTTTACAGCAATCTATAACAATTTAAAATAGTTAATCGTAATACTATTACATATCACTTAAACCTCTTCACAGCACTCTTTTAAGCCAATAACTAATTAAAAATTTAAAATAGTTAATGGTGATACTGTTATGTCAGTTAAACTTCTTCACAGCAATCTACAAAGTTTATAGCTAAATAACACTTTAAAATAGTTAATGGTGACACTGTTATATATCACTTAAACTGCCTCAAAATCTACAATGTGTATAGTTAAATAACAATCTAAAATAGTTAATAGTGACATTGTGTCAGTTAATTTTCTCCACAGCAATCTACAAAGTTTATAGCTAAATAACAATTTAAAATAGTTAATGGTGATACTGTTACATATCATTTAAGATTTTTTACAGCAATCTATAACAATTTAAAATAGTTAATCGTGATAATATTACATATCACTTAAACTTCTTCACAGCACTCTTTTAAGCCAATAGCTAAATAAAAATTTAAAATAGTTAATGGTGATACTGTTATTTACCACTTAAATTTCTTCACAGCAATACCAATAAGCAAATAATTTTTTTATTATGTATCATCGGTATGGATTATTAGCCGAGTCTTCTGTGTAGGACTTGTTACTGTTTCCCAGCGCCACTTTAGGAGCAGTACTGCTAATTAGAACCATTATTATTATTTTATTTTAAGTTGATATAATAAAAAAGGGTAATTTTTAGGTGGTAACTGGAGCAGGACACCACGTGTACGCCGATAAACCAGAGGCTTTTAATCAAATAATCCTCGACGCCTGTAGTTTGACAAATTCCAATGTAAATTCTAACCTAGCTATTGAATCGGCGCCTAGAGATCATGCTGAAACGGATGAACCAGAAAGTGATAGCAAGCAATAATGTTTTTTTAGTTTTTTTAAATTATTTTTAACTTATTGTATTATTTTCTATTTAGTTTATTTTTTTAACAGTACAAGGATAAATTAGCAGTAAATATGAAAATGATGGGACTAATATTAGGTATTGCCTTTTTGATATAATTCAATTTTATTTTTAATTAACGGATTTTTTTAAGCACCACTATTATTACATAAATTGATCTACTTAATACATTTACACAAATTTCCAATAAATGATTGTTGTATTATTTTAATAGAAATTAAACAATTTTTTTTTTTATTATTATTATATAAGTATTTTCCAATTGTTAAGTTTGCAGTAGTAATGGAAGGGCTGTGACGCAGTACAATGATAATATAAATATTTTTTTATTTACATTTCGTCTTATTCAATCCCTTTTTAATCAAACAAGAGTCAGATCAAAATATTACGAGTGTGGAAAGTGACATTTTTCACACGAGTGGGAAATATTGTCGCACGAGGCATACTCCGAGTACGAGAATTACATGAGTGGGAAAATATGCTTCTACACAAGGTTTGTATAATATTTTTCATAAACGGCTCTATTTATATCTGCCATGCTCTATATTTAAGTAAATTAAGAGAATCATTTGTCCGTTAGTAACTGAGAAAATTGCAAAAATATTTAAAATCTTCTAGATAGAAAGGACTTCGCTTCGTCATTTCTTGTGCTTTCAAGATAGGGACGTAAATAAAACTAGCGACGATTTAAAAATTTTTCGGTGTTTTTTAAAACCACCCCCTTATGATACCTACTCTTCTGCTTTCCTGATACAAAGATAAAATATTGAAAATTTTTAATTTCGCGAATAAAATTTTAGTACCAGGATAACAGAAGAGCGAGTTGTTAGAATGCATTTTAAAAATGGCGGGAAAATGAGGTTATCTTTGAATAACTCATAAATGACTTGAGATAAAGATACACCCTTACAAAACAGTGAGTACTATCAGAAATCCGACTAACTCGCCTAACCCCGGGTCATATTCCACATTCAGAAGGGACCTCCTAGCCGAAAATTTTTCGCAAATTTGGACAAAGTACTTACAAATATGGTGAAACCCAAAATGGCCGGCTACGGAGAGCCAAGACACCGCAGAATCTCCGAAACCACATCTAGACAGCCAAAAAAAATCGGCAACAAACAGCAGACAAAAATGAAAGTATGCAGAAAATGAACCAAGAAAGTTTGGAAAATACCAGACTCGAAAGTAACGAGAATGCTGCCGACTCACGGCCAGAGCAGCCGCCGAGCGATACTTACACACAGACTAGCGACCAAAATAACGATTCGCAATCGTCACAGTACAGTGTCGACGGACCGAGATCAGATGCTTACGACAGTATGGAGAAACTTAGAAAGACACTCGTACGTTCTAACAGTGGCTCTAGCAGCCCAGACTCAGATGATTCAGTCGATTTGCACATTGAAGAATAAGAATCGGATATAGATACCCCGGATACAATAAAAATTGTTCAACTTTTGAGAAGAAAAAATTCAAAAAATCCGCATAACAGTCCAAAATTCGAATCTGCATACAAAGAAGAGGACTTTGCTTCGTCATTTTTTGTGCTTTCATTTACATTTATACACATTTCCATTAAGATAAGAACATACATAAAACTCTAGTGACAATTTAAACATTTTTCGGCATTTTTTAAAACTACCTCTTTATATACTTACTCGCTCTTCTGCTATCCTGATACAAAGCTAAAATATTGAAAAGTTTTAATTTCGCGAATAAAATTTTAGTATCAGAATAACAGAAGAGCGAGTAGGTATTAGGATGCATTTTAAAAATGGCGAGAAACTGAGGTTATGTTTGAATACCTCATAAACGACTTAAAATAGAGATGTCCAACAAAGAACATTCTAATATATCTGCCATGTTCTATATTTAAGGACCGATTCCACCGTTGTGTTAAACGAAGTTTAAAATGAAATTTTTACATTAACAATATCATTTTAATCTCCGTTTAACACAATGGTGGAATCGGTCCTAAGTGTATTAAGGACCGATTCCACCGTTGTGTTAAACGAAGTTTAAAATGACATTTTTACATTAACAACGTCATTTTAATCTCCGTTTAACACAACGGTGGAATCGGTCCTAAGAGAATCATTTGTCCGTTAGTAAAATTGCAAAAATATTTAAAATCTTCTAGATAGAAAGTAGAGGACTTCGCTTCGTCATTTTTTTTTGCTTTCATTTATATTTATATACATTTCCATCAAGATAAGAACGTAAATAAAACTTAAGCGACGACTTAAAATATTTTCGGCATTTTTTAAAACCACCTCCTTATAATATCTACTAGCTCTTTTAGGGCCGATTCCACCGTTGTGTTAAACGGAGATTAAAATGACATTGTTAATGTAAAAATGTCATTTTAAACTTAGTTTAACACAACGGTGGAATCGGTCCTTAGTATCAGGATAACAAGAGCGAGTAGGTATTAGCAGGATTAGTGATAGACATAATCGTTATAATCGAATACTCGGATGAATAAAAATCGAATTAATCGGGTATTCGAATCAAATCATTCGAATGATTTATATTATACCATCATCAAATTATTGAGTAGGATAAGATCAATGTATCAAAAGTTAATATATTGATAGTTAACTATCCAATCATCAGAATGCAGTACACCTAAGCCTATAACGTCATACGTCAATATTTACTTTTATTTATCATGCGACCGTTTTGCTGACGGCTGGCGCGCGGTATATTAATTGGAATGGTTGGGTGGTTTTCCCCGACGACTTGACAGATATCTAGCCAACTAGAACGCGATAGCCCAAAAGAGAAAACGCAGAAACGTTGCACTTAAGGAAAATAACCAATTTTGGGTGCCTATTATACTCGACATTTCAACAGAAAAGCGAGTAGGTATTAGGATGCATTTTAAAAATGGCGGGAAAATGAGGTTATCTTTGAATATCTCATAAACGACTTGAAATAGAGATGTGCAGCAAAGAGCATTCTAATATATCTGACAAACTCTATATTTAAGTGAATTAAAAGAATCATTTGACCGTTAGTAACTGAGAAAATTTCAAAAATATTTAAAATCTTCTAGATAGAAAGTAGAGAACTTCGCTTCGTCATTTTTTGTACTTTCATTTACATTTATACACGTTTCCATCAAGATAACGTAAATAAAACTTAAAAGATGATTTAAACATTTTTGCGTGTTTTTTTTAAACTACCCCCTTGTAATACCTACTCGCTCTTCTGTTTAAGTGAATTAAGAGAATCAGTTGTCCGTTAGTAACTGAGAAAATTGTAAAAATATTTAATCATTCTCACGTTTCATCACTAGACGTTTCATTCCAAGTCGGTTGACTTTGAATACCATATATCAGAAGATCATTCACGTTGCACGATTATGCAGAATTACGAATAAGGACCCCGAATCCCTTATTTGTGGAAGTTGCCTCACGATATACCATGAGATAACCTAGATTTACATTCCGTATATTACCTAACTTACCAAAAGATAAGTGCTTACTCAATAAATCGTTTTAAATTTGAATTTAGTACAACTTATGTGAATTAGAATTTGATAACTACTTTATCTAAAGCATGGTTTAAGTTAGTGGTTAGTGATTTTCTATATTTTTATCATTAATTTAGAGTCAAGTGTAGTAATCTTTAAATATAGTGGTGCCCAACTTTTTTTTCAAAGTTATTCGAGTTATTTAAAAACCTAACTCACGTCCTATCAAGTGAGCTCAAACACATTAAACAAGTAGATAGAATAACTAGATATTACGTTACAAATCTTCTAGATGGAAAGTAAAGGACTTCGCCCCGTCATTTATTGTGCTTTCTTTTATATTTCTGAGTTTCTATTAACTGTAGAAGCTTCACATGCTGCTCTTTGACTTCTTGGGAGAAAGAGTGTGGCTGTATGTGCTTTCGAGATGTCGTCTCCCGCACATACATCCAACTCCACTTTTTCAGGTGAGCCATTCTGCGGACTGTAGGGTTTCAAAGTCGATTAGGACCATTTCCGCCTTCGAATTTAAGCTTATGCTCCCATCCAACATCTCTTCTATTATGACTTCCTTCACCAGGGTTTGTTCGTTCGCAATGAGGATAGTCTCAAGGAACCCCTTAGGTAGGATCGCGACCCACTCCGTCTTGACGTAGTTACATAACTGCCAAAATCGGAGATAGCGGCCATTTTCCTTTTCTTTCCTTTACGGTGGTGTGGTGTGGTGTTGCTTCCATCCCGTTTCCTTTTTAGATCGTTGGGATTTTTTTTACTTTCCTCTTCCTGGGATCTGTCATTAATTTGTCATTAAAATTTCATAAAATGCAACTTTTTAAAAAGTTTCCTGCCTTTTTTAAAATACCTTTTTATACCTACTTTGCTCTTCTGTTATCCTGATACAAAATTTGTCATTATAATTGTAATAAAATGCGCTTCCTTTACCTACTCGCCCTTCTGTTATTCCGATACAAAATTTGTCACTAAAATTCTTATAAAATACAACTTTTTATAAATTTTACCGCTTTTTCTAATACCTTTTTATACCTACTACCTCTTCTGTTATCTTGATGCATAATTTGTCATTAAAATTGTCATCGAATGCAACTTTTTAAAACTTAAAAAAATATATCTTATTAATTATTATTCATGCTAAATACATGTTCATTAATAAGTAATATTAAAATTAATATAAACAGCTCTAATAAATATCAATTTGGATTCCCTAACGAAGAGCACTGAAAATCTATATCAATATATTTCGGCCCGTAAGGATGCCTCCCATGCCCGGCTAGCCAAATATGGACCACGTTTGGCTTGTAGGATTGCCTCTTATGTCCTGAAAGCCAAATATGGACCACATGCGGTTTCTACTTTCCAAATTATGGTCCTCTTGGCTCAGAAGTCAAAACTAATGAAAAAATGTGGCTTTTCCATTTTCTTTTCAACATAATAGCAAAATAAAAATACTTAACCAATAAAGGATTATATTTTCAATACGTGTAAATGGAAAACAAAAATCCAAATACCAAAATACAGACAATAATAATAATAATAATAATAATAATAATTTAAAAATAGGTGGATTAAAATTAAAATCCAAATAATTTAAATTACCTAAAATTCAATATTAAAAAAATAAAATTATCACATTCTAAATTCGCAATCTGATCTTGCTAAAGTAACATGGCGGGGCAAGATTTACTTTATTTAGACATCAAAAATGGCCAATTGGGAATATTTATTCAAAAAAATTTAAGCTATAAAATTGTTTAAATTATTTTAAGGTTTAAAAATGGTGGAAATTCGATATCACAATTAAAATTATTAGAAATGTGGTAAAAAAAATATATTCTAGTCAATGCGATAATACAGGGTGATTCATTAAGGGTGACGACCGGCCATATCTTGAAGTAGAATTTTATTGAAAGAAACGCAAAAACAGGTCGATTTTTGTTTCAAGAGGGACACTTCTATAATATCCTCAACTGTCATATGTCATTCCTCTCCCCTACGTCAATCTAACCAATACAATTTAAATAGAGAAAATACCAAGTATGACACATCGTCGGAAAGATGATTTTATGGTAAATTCATTGCATTTATTATAAGTTTAGCGCCCTCTAGCGGGATAAAAATCTATTACGAATGGTAAAGTGTGATACTTCATTTGAAAGCTAATCTTATTAGTAATATACGTAATATTATGTCAACTAACTCAAAAATGAACCTAAAGAAAAAATAATAATTATTTTGTTGCAAGTGCAATATGTATATATCTAGGTTAATGTTAGATGGTGCATTGGATTACTAATAAAATTAGCTTTTAAATGAAGTGTTACACTTTACTATAGGTAGTAATTTTTTATCTCGCTAGAGGGCGCTAAAATTAAAAGGAATCATTATTGCTGAATTGCCCTTAAAATTACCTTTCCGACGATGTATCATACTTGGTACTTTCCCTATTTAAATTGTATTTGTTAGATTGACGTAAGGGAGAGGAATGACATATGACAGTTGAGAATATTTTATAGAAAGGTATCCCTTCCCCTTGAAAAAAAAAAAATCGACCTGTTTTTGCGTTTTTTTCAAAAAAAATTCTACTTGATGATATTCTGAGATACAGCCGGTCGCCCCCCTTAATGAATCACCCTGTACAAAATGTTTTAGACTAAAAAAAAATATATGTAAAAAAACGCCGTTCAGTGACCTATTTTTAAACAAATCGTCTTGAAGTGAACTTTGACATAGGCTATTTCAAGTTTTTAAGTAAAAAGTTTTTCTCCAAAGGTAATTGTTAAGTATTAGCTTGAAATCTGACAACCATGTATTTGTTTTAGCGCATTTGACAGCATTCATTTCATGTAATTTTAGCCAGAAAATAAAGTGTTGTAATCTCTACTATTATGTTTTAATTCAAAGTGAAATCAAGGTACAAGACCTTACAGTAATATTAAAAAAAAACACATATGGAACCAATTTTATGGAACACACTGTATTAGAGATGCTTAGAGGCAGATCCCACAATATTAGAACACATATAGTATATTTTGAGCGCGCTAGAACGTCAGTGACACAAATAAAGACGAACACGACGCGCTTGCGCGTCAATGGCATTTAAAGTGTTAATAATATCATTATTATAAATAAAATTGAATAATTTGTATTGTTTATGAAGTAAATTATTATAATGTATTAAAAAAAAGTAATTTAAATAGTAGCAGTTATATCTTACAGCTGCGTATAAGGATTAAAGTTCATAGAAAATTATTTTCTTTTTTTTTTTTTATTAGCCAGTAGGTCGTTTTGTATCTATCTTACAGAAAATAAAATGTAGCAAGCTCTAGGAGTATGTTTTAATTCAAACTAAACGTAAGATACAAGACCTTACAGTAATATTAAAAAAAAAAAACATATGGAACCAATTTTATGGAACACACTGTATTAGAGATGCTTATAGGGGGAGATCCGACAATATTAGAACACATATAGTATATTTTGAGCGCGCTGGAACGTCTGTTGTATAAATAAAGACGAGCATGACGCGCTTGCGCGTCAATGGCATTGTAAGTGTTAATAAGACCATAATTACAAATAAAATTGAATAATTTGTATTGTTTATGAAGTAAGTTATTATAATGCATAAAAAAAGAAATTAAGATAGTAGCAGTTATATATTATAGCTGTTTATAACAAGGATAAATTTCATTGGAATTTATTTTGTTTCTTTTTGATCAGGCAGTAGGTCGTTTTGTATCTACCTTACAGAAAATGAAGTGTAGCAAGCTCTAGGAGTATGTTTTAATTTAAACTAAAATTAAGATACAAGACCTTAAAAAAAAACATATGGAACCAATTTTATGGAACACACTGTCTTAGAGATGCTTAGGGGTAGATCCTACAATATCAGAACACATAATAGTGTATTTTGAGCGCGCTGGAACGTCAGATATGTAAATAAAGACGAACATAACGCGTTTGCGCGTCAGTGGCATTAAAAGTGTTAATAATACCATTTTACAAATAAAATTGAATAATTTGTATTAATTATCAAGTATATAATGTATAACAAGGATAAAGTTCATCAGAAATTATTTTCTTTCTTTTTGATAAAGAATTTCATTATATTTTATTTTGTATAACACTGTATTATTAACAGGAACCCAATTAATATTCGATATACCTAATTTTTAGATATTATAGAGTAACATAGCTCTGAACCAATCAATTGTCACTTCAAAATAATAAGTTTGTTCCAATAACAGCACAGAATCGTTCGGAATATATCTGCGCATGAGTAGTACGAAAAATAGAACAGTTAAATCGTACTGCTCATGCGTAGATATATTCGTAACGATTCTGCACTATTGGAACAAACCTAATGTTTCTTTAAAAAATAACTTTAATTTCTTTTTACCTGATAAAATAGTACTAAATTATATCTACATTTCCACCATTTTCAAATTTTAATAATTACCCCGCGACTATTTTCTTATTTTCTGTTAAAGTCGCGTGTTAATAATTTGCATTCCGCTAAAATCATCTTCGTCTAGGATATGTTCAATACGTTGATCCCAATCGATATCTTTTGTATGTTTATCGTCGAAAATTTTTGGACTATCGTTGCTATCGCTGATATCGCAGACTTTCGTTACTGCGTCGTTGAATAATACTGGTTGATCGGCGTTGATGTGGTGACCGGCGTTGGGGATAATCTAAAAGAGAAGAAAACAATTTCATTTCAAGATAATCGCGTTGATAGTGAATTTGGAAGAGGTAAGTTTGGGTAGCCAAGTTCCATTTACTTCATAAAGGTAAAATTTGGGAAGGCGAAACCGAGTAAGACGACAAGCGACAGGCAGCAAGCAGCAAATAGCGCCATGTTGAGAGGGTTATCCTGGAAACATACCTGGTGTATTTAGACGACATCATAGTCTTGGGGAAGACATTTGATGAACATCTAAAGAACTTAAAAGATGTTTTTAAAAGACTTCAAGCTGCCCAACTGATGCTTAATCCCAAGAAATTCCACCTATTCCAAAATAAAGTCAATTACCTGGACCATATAGTCAGTAAGAATGGCGTGGCTGTAGATAAAGAAAAAGTCGCTTCTATCAAAGAGTGGCCACAACCAACTGATAAACTCCATATAAGAAGTTTTCTTGAGCTTTGTACGTACTACCGAAGATTCAAAAAGAAGTTTGCAGATATTGCTAAACCACTAACAGGAGTCACAGAAGAAGCAAGAGAATTCTGCTGAGACGAAGACTGCCAAACTGCCTTCGAAACGTTAAAGAAGCATTTAACAACAGCACCAATCCTAGGCTACCCACTACCAGAGGGAGAATTTATCCTGGATACTGATGCTAGTAATGTGGGAATTGGACAAGTACTTTCACAGAATCAGGAAGGGAAATAAAGAGTACTAGGTTATTTTAGTAAAGTGCTCTCGAAACCTGAACGAAATTACTGCGTCACAAGAAGAGAACTCCTGGCAGTCATAAAGTGTGTGGAACACTTTTACCAATACCTGTATGGAAATTTTTAATCCGGACCGATCATGCAGCCCTTAATTGGTTGATGCAATTTAAGAACCCAGAGGGTCAATCGCCAGATGGATTGAACGACTTCAAGAGTACGACTTCAAGATTGAACATCGAGCCGGAATAAGTCACAGAAATGCCGATTCTCTCTCTAGAAGACATGTCCAGCAGAGTGCTCCCACTGCAACAAAGCGGAAACCAAAGAAAGTGGACTACTAAGAACAACTGTAGTCAACGATGAGTGAGCCCCTGCTAAAATTAGGGAAGAACAAGAGAATGATACCGTTTTTAAGAAGATGCGACAATGGAAAGAGGAAAATCATCGACCTACTTGGCAAGAAGTATCTAAGTTCTCTCCAGTACTTAAGTCTTATTTGGCTCAGTGGAACTCCTTTTATCCTGGAAGATGGCTTATTAAAGAGAGTACTTGAAAATGATGATGGTTCCGAGAACAGAAGACAGTTGGTCATTCCAAGAAGTAGAGCAGCTGAAGTACTCCGTCAGTTACACGACAGTCCATCAGGAGGACATCTCGGTGTTAGGAAAACCCTTCAGAGAGTTCAGGAAAGGTTTTACTGGATGAACAGTTCCGATGATGTAAGAAATGTACCACCTGTGCTATGAGTAATGGACCTCAACGAAAAAGGAATGCTCCCATGAAGCAATATAACATTGGTAGTCCATTTGAGAGGATCGCCTTAGATATTGCTGGACCATTCCCCGAGACCGAGGATGGTAATAAATACATTTTGGTGGTTATGGACTATTTTACAAAGTTGGTGGAAGTCTACGCCATTCCAAATCAAGAGGCCGCAACTGTTGCAGATGTATTGATAAAAGAGATTATCTGTCGATTTGGAGTGCCCTTGGAGATCCACAGTGACCAAGGCAGAAATTTTGAAAGTCAACTTTTCCGTGGAATCTGTTACAGACTGGGCATGAAGAAAACCAGAACCACAGCATTGCACCCACAATCCGATGGAATGGTAGAGCGAATGAATAAGACCATTGGCAAATATCTGTCAAAAGTGGTTTCATATCATCAGAGAGATTGGGATCAGTATCTTTCGCTCTTTGCAATGGCTTATAGATCCGCTATCAATGAATCAACAGCCCAAACACCAGCAAATGTCTTGTTTGGGCGTGAGATGAGACTACCGTGCGATCTCGAGTTTGGATGCCGACCTGGAGAAGATGTAGCTGGTGAAGATTATGTGATCCAGTTACGAAGAAGAATGGACGATATGCATGAATTAGTTCGCTCCCATCTTCAAATCGCCAGCGACGGAATGAAGAAGCGATACGATACCCAAGCAACAGAAGGATGTTTCAAAGAAGGTGACAAAGTCTGGCTCCATAACCCAAAAAGACAAAAGGGTTACTCTCCGAAGCTTCAAAGGTCTTTGGAAGGTCCGTACCTAATCAAGAATAAAATAAATGATGTAATTTACCGTATAAGTAAGATCCCAAACGGTAAATCGAAGGTAATGCATCAAAACAGGCTGGCGCCATTTGAGGGTGATCATGAAGAAGAAGTAAACCAACTTCAAGAAACACCAGAACTGGTGAACATTCTAGGACCTTCGCCATACTTTTAAATTTGTATATAAATATTGATGGAGGATCAAGCGGAAGTCATTAGTAGATAGACAGTGGTGAATATAAATAGTGAACGATTCAAAGACATTCGAACTATATAAAAATTAGAATAGTAGTGTTATAAAATAAATTATTAATAAATAAACTGTTGTTCTAAAATAAACAAACATCACAATAATTAAAGACAGATAGTTGTTTTGCCATTATTTTCCCAGACCAAAATGTTTGTTGGGCCCTGAAGTTAAAATTCCTACAATACATGGCCCTTTTATTAAAAAAATATATGTTAAAAACAAAATTATTTAAAAATTAACAAAATTGTAGTTTTAGTTATCGAATTTAATAATAAATCCTATTTTTGTTATTTATTAAATCATATTTAGAATTGATAAGATGAATATTCCATTAATCAACAAATTTGATTCGCGACATTTTTCTTAGTGTAGTAATGTACAATATTTGTTGATATTTATTAATTCTTATTCCTATAATTTTTTTGTTATAGTCCATATAGTTGATAACGTTTTAATTTGAAGTATATTTCCTTGTTTTTGCGAAGTGGAATTTCTTAGTTGAATTTAAACTGGTTTGATCTGATTAACTATTAGTCTGGTCACCTATTCTAGAAAATCACATAAAATTTCTCTTTCTAGAATTTTTTTTGTCCCAATTTCAAACAATAGTCATTTAAAGAAAAATATGTAGTACCAGAGTTAATCAACAGGGACTTACCTCTACTTTTACATACGAATTAGGTCTTTGATCCTTTAAAACTTCTTCTGGTGTTTTTCTAATCCACGATTTTTCTCCATATATGATTGTAATCGGTACATTTTTATCTAAAGTATGGTACCTTAGTATCATAGGATTTTTTGCCCACCCCAATCCCTGTAGCATAGAATGAAAGGCTGATTCACCACTAAAAAAGAACAAAAATTTGATATACTCATTGTTTACCAAATAAAAAATTCACTTACGAAGGTTTCTGTGAATTACAATGATAAATATATTCTGTAATAATGTCCGTATCTTCCACAGCAGAACTATATTTGACGGAAATGTCATTTCTTACTCTGCTAATAAGCCAAGGTCCTGAGAAAATAATATATCTTATATATTTTATATATTATATGTTTTATATGTTTGTTTTATATATATTATGTTTTATATGTTTTTATAGGATTTTATTTTATTTTGAAAGTGGCCTAAAGTCTATTTATACTTAAATTGAGATATCTGGGGGTTTATGTAAATTTTGTTTAACTGTTAAATGTACTGATTATTCAACTAATTTATAAACTGAGGTTAATTTGTTAAATACTAATTAATTAAAATTGCCTTCATCACTGCCTTTGGACATTACTGATAATGAATATCTTAATTTAGGTATAATTGGACTTGAGCCACTTTCAAAATAAACGGCTCATATGTTTTTATATGTTTTATATATGTTTTATATATGTTTTTATATATGTTTTTATATATGTTTTTATATATGTTTTTATATATGTTTTTATATATGTTTTTATATATGTTTTTATATATGTTTTTATATATGTTTTTATATATGTTTTTATATATGTTTTTATATATGTTTTTATATATGTTTTTATATATGTTTTTATATATGTTTTTATATGTTTTTATGTTTTTATATATGTTTTTATATGTTTTATATGTTGTTGGGACTGAAGCGAATAGTGATAATAAAACATCGTACTTACCGATTGGTCCTGCAGCTCTAACCGACGCCAACGGATTGAACCACGTAAATGGATAGATCACAACGCTCATGAATTTGAACCACAATGGCACCTCCAATTTAGGCGGCCTTTCTTGAAACCCCCACGGGTCTGCTAAAATTAAATGTTTCACCCTGTCTGGGTAGTTTATGGCATAGCTCGTGGCTAAATAGCCGCCGAAACTGTGTCCTAATAGTATGAATTTTTCTAATTTCATTTGTTTTCGCCATGCTTCCAAGGATTCTACCATTTGCTGCTCGGCTTCCAGGCTATTGGCGCTGAATTTTGGTCGAGACGATCTTCCGAAACCTGAAAAAATTATTATCATACAAACTAAAAGTTATTTGATGTTCATTGTTCGGTATTTTTTCCATGTAAAAGGTCTTTACAAAAACATACCACATATTCCTTAGACCAAAATAAGTCGATTTAAGTAAAATTACTTTAGTACAAAGTTGCTTCGTTTGGGCTCCAGAGGGCCTTGAAGTTACAATTTTTAAATCGTTTTTCTCATATAAATTTAAAACGGCCTATGCGATTTTGCTGAAATTTGGTATATTGGTAGAGTTTTATATGGCTAAAAAATGGTATTAAAATTGTGTCCGATAATAATACATAGGCGTAGAACTTGATTTTTTAAATAATTGCACCTTTAAAAATTCTACGCCAATGGAAGAAAAGGAGTTTGAGTATGAAATTTAGATTGCGCAACTCATTTACTTTAAAAAAGGTACTCTTGATAAGACTCGATTACTCTCATGGTTTTGACGAAATTTGCATTTTAGTAATTTTAGAACATAAACAATAATTATTAAAATACAAACTTTGTCAAAACCATGAGAGTAAATCATCAAGGGTACTTTTTTGTAGTAAATGAGTACCCAATCCAAGTTTCATACTCAAACCCCTTTTTTGCCATTGGCGTAGAATTTTTAAAGGTGCAATTATTTAAAAAATCAAGTTTTACGACTATGTATTATTATCGGACAAAATTTTATACGATGAAAAACATAAAAATGTATTTTTTTCATATCTTCTTCAACACCTCTAATCGAGACTTTTAACAAAAATACTCGATTCTTGCCATGTACGATTTTTTGAGGAATATTAATTATTTGTCTGCAATACGCATACAAAAACATTTATTGTTGGTTTCCATAGTTTCATCTAAATAAAAATATTGTCAAGTTTTAACACCTAATCTCTTGTTAACGATTGAAAGTGTTCTATCTGACACAATAATTAAAAAACAAATGCGTGGTTTATTAATATGGCTGTACAATATACCAATGCAGAATATACGGATATGTAACTGACATTAGGATTTTGTGAAGGAAATGCTCGAGAGAGTGTCAGGGTGTACTCTGAAAAGTTTCCAAATCGTCGTGTACCTAGCCACCCAACTTTTGCTGCTGTTGAGAGACGTCTTCGGGAGACCGGTTCCTTTGCTCCCAACACTGTTGATAATGGAAGAGAACGTTTTGTAAGGATTCCTGAAGTTGAAGAAGACATTTTAGAACGTGTTGAAGAAGATCCAGAATTAAGCAACAGACGAATTGGAAGGGAACTAGGAGAAAGTAAAGATGTCGTTCATAAAGTGCTTAGAGAACAATTGCTATATCCATACCATAAGAAGCCAGTACAAGAATTATTAGTCCATGATCCTCAAATTCGTTTGGGTTTTTGTCGATTTGTTAATATGCAAAGAGAAAGAGATCCAAACTTTGTCAAGAAGGTTCTCTTTACCGATGAAGCGGGTTTTACAAGAAGAGCTATAGCTAATACCCATAATGAACATGTTTATGCCGTTGAAAATCCGCATGCAATAAAGGTAAACCATTTTCAGCACGAATTCAAAATTAATGTGTGGGCTGGAATAATTGGTAATTTCATTGTTGGTCCTGTCATACTTCCACGAAGATTAACTGGAGAAAATTATTTGGATTTTCTACAAAATACGTTGTTAGAATTGTTAGAAGATTTACCTCTCCAACTTCGGAGAGATATGTGGTTTATACAAGATGGAGCTACACCACATTTTTCTTTAAACGTTAGAAACCACCTGAATGAACAATATCCACACAAATGGATAGGCAGAGGTAATGACGCACCTGTAAACTGGCCACCACGTTCCCCAGACCTAACACCGATTACTTTTTATGGGGACGTCTGAAATCCACAGTTTACAGGGAACCTGTAGAAAATGAGGAACAACTCTGGCAATGTATTCAAGATGCAATAAACAATCTTAGAGGTGATGAAGAAGTTATGGAAAGGATACATTTTAGTTTTCTTCGACGTATAAATCTTTGTATGCGTGAAAATCATTTTCAACAATTTTTGTAAAATTTCTATTTTGATTATGTTGTAAATAAATATTTTTGTGAAACCTATACACTCTAAATTATTAAAACAGAAATTTAGCGAAAACCATGAGAGTAATCGAGTCTTATCAAGAGTATGAAAGTAAATGAGTTGCGCAATCTAAAGTTCATACTCAAACTCCTTTTCTTCCATTGGCGTAGAATTTTTAAAGGTGCAATTATTTAAAAAATCAAGTTCTACGCCTATGTATTATTATCGGACAAAATTTTAATACCATTTTTGTTGCCACATAAAACTCTACCAATATACCAAATTTCAGCAAAATCGCATATGCCGTTTTTAATTTATATGGGAAAAACGATTTAAAAATTGTAAGTTCAAGGCCCTCTGGAGCCCAAACGAAGCAACTTTGTACTAAGGTAATTTTACTTAAATCGACTTATTTTGGTCTAAGGAATATGTGGTATGTTTTTGTAAAGACCTTTTACAGAAAAAAAAAAGAACTGAGGTAGGGGTTCTGGCATTTGAACGAGAAACGAACATGATCTTTGTAACAGGGTTGTATCGAAATTTTTGTTAATAAATGTACAAGTAGGTCTAGTAGGTTAAATACACAATAACTCCCTCACTTCCTATGGTCACGATTACGTCACGCTCATAAGGGTAGTCTTTGGCCATTCTTACGGTCGAGGAAAGTGGACTACCCATGGGCGAAGTTATGTCATCAGATCTGGGGGGGCTAAAGCCCTAGCCCTAGTCATATAATATATAATAGTTCTAGAGGTATACTGAAGTTAAGTAAAAAAATTTTGGCGAATCTATGAAAATGGATAAAATATCATATATAATATATATTTGTGTCAAGTAAAAAACCTGAAAAATTTTCATCACAATAATTCATTAAAAAAATTCCTCATTTTCGCAGTCATGAAATAGTAGTTTGTGCAACAAGAGTAGATATGGACAATTCACTCGAGTTGTACAGTATATTTTTTCTATGAACCACTAAGGAACATATAAAAATTTACAAAATTATTTTAGGTTTAGACAAAATAACTAATTTTAAAATAATTTATGAATTTTATTAATTTATAAAATATAATAAACATAAAATAAGCCCCTTGTCCAGATTCGAACCCAGGCTATTCGCGTGGAATCTAGATGCTCTGTCCTCTGCTCCACTCCACTCCAGGTTTTTAGTTTTAATACTCGTAATTAAATCAGTTTCATACAATTTAATTAAAATTAATTTTTTTTAAATGCCATTTTTTATCGATTCTAAACAAAAATAACTAATTTTAACGTATGCAATCTTAATGACTAAAAAATATACTGACAGAATTTAAAATTTTAAAAATAATAGTAGTTGGGTGTCCAAAATATGAACTGTGATTGGTGGATTTAATTTTTTTGCAGTTTTCTCACTATGTTATGTTGGGAATGGGGTGTTAATACACTGCGACCTAAAAGATCTATTGTGTCCCCTTCTGTCGCTTATGCAGCACGGAAATGTCTCAATGCCTATAACGATCCTTCCAATTATATTTTCTCAAGGAAGTGTAGGATTTGGAGTGGCTTCAAGTTAGGTAAATTTCCCTCTTCTATTTTATATGCTCCTAGGTATAGTGCCCTTTGATTCTGGAGTGCTACACATTCAGTTAGAATGTGAATGAAGGTTTCGTCCTCCTCACAGAATCTGCAGTCACTATCTTCCTAATCTCAGTTTACTAAGGTGTCCTTTTAGTTGGCATTGTCCAGTAAGGATCCCTGTTACAAGTGTTCTCACTACTAGAAAAATGTATAATATGAAAACAGCTTCAAATATAATCTGGCTAATGTGGAACATCCCGAAAGCCTTGCCAGACTCATCAAATGATCGCCAGGCGCGCTAAATTCGGCAAGTTCGAATGCTATTCCTCTCCTCGTTTAACTACCTGGCTTGTCAGGTCCGACCGAAATATGGTTTTATAACCGAAACAGAAACTAAATTTCGGCTCCTTTCTTAGTTTCGGCCGAAACCGAAACAGAAACAAGAACTTTGTTTTAAGGCAATCTCTTATTGAAATTTGCAGTATCTTATTATAATCCTTGTTTTAGACTAATTAACTCGTATTATAAATTTAAGCCTATTTATTTTTGGTGATCAAAAGTAGCCATTAATAAATTTATAGACATTGTTTTTTTATTACTTTTAAAATTAAAAAAAAAAAGTAAGTGAATTACAAAGTATCAATCATTTCTGCATCTGTAGTAGATATTTTGTAACAAAAAATAGTATTATGAAGGGAATTATATATAATGTATAATTTTTATTTAAAAAAAAAAAAATAATAATAAACAAATTCAGCGGATTAAATATGTTTGTTACTTATAATTAAATTAATATTCATAAGTAAACAGTCTAACGTTGTAGGGTGAATAAAATTTTTTCCACGTTTTCACCTAAAAAAGTGCTACTTTGATCCGAATAAATTAGGCCAGGAGCACTGAAGACTGTTCACTTGAAACAAAGCAGAGATGTTTGTGTGTACGTGCACAGTGTAAGAATGGCACCCGGCACAGTCGCCATTGTGCAGGACACAACCAAGTGTGATACGAAAACTTTCGAAAGTAGTTTTGCTGTCGGCTGCAGTTTCGGCCACTTTTCCGCCGAAACCGAAACTGTAGTCGAAACTCTTATTTTAAACCGTAACCGAACCTTCGGTCGGACACTACTTGTGAGTCTGGCAGGCCTTCGTGATTGTAATTGTCAACCAGACGTGTATTTTTACTTAGAATACCACTAGTGACTAAATTATTTTTGGAAATTTTTTCGAACTTAAGAATATTTTGAAATTTAGTCGAAGACGATGGATAAGTTTCTTAAAATATGCGTGAGTGAGCAAAAATTTACTGATAATAATTTAAGTACATGTGGTATTGGGTAAAAAAATTTTACACCAAAATATCCAAATTTCAAAACTTGACAGACATACCTACATTAAAACGACTAAAATCAAATTTTCAAAGCTGGCCATACCACAGCGTATGAAACATATATTTTTAAATGCTGTGGCCATACAATGACCATTTGTCATATTTGAAGTCGTTTAGTTGACGCAAAAAACCTCATTATTATTTTACTTAAAATAAATGTAGTGTATTTCTACCTAGTTATAATTGGTATTAAATAAAATATTAACCACTAAAACGGCAAATTTTTAATCACACTATCGCGTTGCGTCGTAATATTTTATGCATGGAAGGGCTTCTCAACTTTCAAAAAAATTTTCAGTATAATTTCGTTTAGGGTACCCACCAATAGGAAAATTACCGGAAATTTTTCTGGTTGTCATGGAAACGTTTTAAAATAACAGCATTTGATCGGCTATAAAATAGAGGTGTAAAATTACAATATAATCTATTACGTGACAAATTTTCAAACCCGGAAAAATAAAAGCAAAAATATTATATTTTTTCGATTTTGAAGATGTTACCAGACTCATTCGCCAATTTCGTAAATCAGCCAGACATTATTAACATTTCATGATTGTATCAATTTATATGCTAAATTTTCTGCCACACTCACTTTCCACTATCTGAGATAATCCAAACTACTATTTTTATAAACTTTTTGTTCTAGTTTAGTAAATGTATAATATTTATGACTGGGAAAATAAGAGTCAGACTCAAAAATTTTGTTTTTTGTTGCTCATATACACCTACTGGAAAAATGAGTAGGTACGAAAAAAATTCACTGCCTCCTGAGCTAAATATAAAATTGCAGAATCAATCAAATGGCACGATTCTTTTTATTTTTTAATTTCTGTTCTAAAATCTGAAATGTATGGGTGGATGTGCGATAAATGTTCGAATTATTTTTGGGGGGGCTAATTTGGTTTTTGGGGGGGCTTAGCCCCCCCAAGCCCTCCCCTAACTTCGCCCATGGACTACCTTACAGTCTCCCAGCGAAATAATGCATAAACAGACATATAACAAATTGATTCTCTACTAGCAAATCCTAAAACCTGTCTGAACATTCAACAAGTGAAAATTTGGAAAAATGCCTATTATATAGAAACGAATAGAGATAAAAAAGTTAAAACTACAATCCCAAAATATTTTCATTTCTTAGACGAATGTACAGAAATACATCCAATTTTGGCTAGTGTCACTTTTACAGTAAACATGCCAACTGCGATGCTGGCAACTGTTACCAAATTTGTGGATGACGCCGCATTTTTGGCTTCTCATCTGGACCATGCAAAGTTTAATTTTTATCAAATTTTTACCTTCTATTTATTCATATCATTATAATAGTTATACAGTGTGTTCCATAAAGTTGGATCCATATAGGAATTTATTAATATTACTGTTGAATAAAAATGTCGCGGGACATGCAACATGCACCTCTACTTTTTTTAAGAACTTAAAATAGCCCATACTAAAATTGCCTAGATTTTTCGATATTTTTTGGAAAAATTTTACAAAAATTATTTTTATAAAATGCGAATTTGACAAAAAACTAATATCAGTAGCCAACTTTGAGATGGGCTATTTTAGATAAAAAAAAACAGACACGGTGCCCTACAACTTTTTTTTTAAATCGTAATATTAAAAAAATATCCCATATGGATCCAACTTTATAGCATACATTATATCATAAACGTGCAATTAATTTTAACCTATCTCTATATGGTTAATTTATAATTTATTTAACGACAATTATACGTCAAAACTAAAGGTAAGTTAATTATATAGGTAATGTATTATTATTCATTTTAATTATTGTTTTGCTATTTTCAACCTATTATTGAAGTAAATACCAGAAAAATAATATTTTAATGAATATAGTAATATTGCGACAAACATTTAACATTGATGTCGCGGTTGTAGAATCAAAGGGATTACATTATTTATAATATTAATTCGTTATAAGATAAAAGGAATCATCATAAAGGAGGCATTACCTCAATAGAAACTTTACAGCTGACAAAACTTAAATATCTCTTTTTTACTAGGTAAAAAGTGGACATCTCTTTAAAAATATACCTCCCTATTTTCATCTACCTTTGCTCAATTATAGGAAAATGGTATATAGTCTAAATGAACTTTAAAAATTTATGAAATTATTGGAAAATGGTATATAAAAATTTATATTTTCTATTTGGGGAACAAACATGATAATATTAATATTTCGTAAGAATGTTTGTAAGATTTTTAGTTTTCCTAAAGACCTTAGCATTAGCAACAAGTTTCATCTTAGCAAGAGGACAGATAAACTTAATATAAAAAACCTTTCCCGTAAGATTCGTGCCAAAAATCCCAGAGATCAATTTTACAGCAGAAAGTAACGCGTAAAGATATAAAAAATTAGTCATTTTATATTTTTTTATATTTTTCTGATCCGCATCTTACTAAACATCTTCTGTATTAAACATTTTGTTGTATCTGTCATAATAAATGTGTCACAGAGAAAATAAGCACTCCCCTCTCCCTAATTGGAGTCAGGCTATGAGTGATGTTATGCGCATGGCAGACGAAAACTGAACACGGGAGCATCCGGCCCTGGATAGTATTAGTGTGGAATTTACCTCATCACTTCAGTTTAGCTTCAAAGTTTATGCGATTTGATCAAGGTTTCGGTACTATATAGTTAAAACAAGTAGTAAAAATGAGTGAGGTAGTTAATGTTCAACAGTGTTCTTCCGAAATAAATTTGGACAAACAGGAAACAGGAAAATAGAAGTGTTGTCACCTTTCTAGTGATGCCAAGGAAATTGTTTTAAACGTTTATTCTGGCGAGTAATTATAATAATTATTCCCATAATATGAATCCAGGAAAAAAAGCCTTGAAAAAAAGGCAGGGAAAAAATAATTGTGTACATGTAACATTATTAAATGGAGAGCTGGCGACACAAAGACTCTGTAAAGTCAAAATTTTGTTATTTACAGTTTCTAAAATTCAAATTCCGCTTAGAAATCCCCAAATTTAAATTAAATTTGACATATGACATTCAATAATAGAGTTACCACGGTATGTGTGACGTCACCTAACCACAATAACAGAACACTTACTACAATACTGTAACCAAGTATGTTGTAGTAAGCTTATAAAGAAATGCCTTAAATTTCATTTGTTTATAAGTATATATAATTTTTTATAGGTTATGTGGATCTGACAAGTGACATTTTATATTTATAATTTAATTCAGTGACGTCACATTAACTGGAATAAATAAACTAGGAACTAATGGCGAGTAAATGTATAAAATCATTCTTACCTAATAAATCTATGGCGTATACAGGTCTATTTTTGGCTATGGCGTCGAAATTTAATATCCAAAAACATAAACCAGCTGCAAATCCATGAAGTAATACTATTGGAGTATTTTTCGATTCCTCATTTAATGCTATTGTCCATACTTTATCATTTTTACCTACTGTTGGACCTATTTTTACAAACCACGTCCTGTAAGCTGTTTTCAGCACTGAAATAAAATAAAAAATATTCGTTTTTAGTTATGGGAGTGGTTGTCAAGAATACTGGGTATGCATTTAGATAGCTAAAGACCAAATAAAACATACTGAAGTTGTTTTAAATGTTTTTAGAAATACGCTAGTTCGGTGTGATGTCATTTTGGTTCCACTGACATTTAATTCTAACCAAACTTTTAACAAAAACATCAATAAATTTGATATATACGTTTTTACTGTTTTTAGTTTATTTCTAAATATTGTTTACAGGTCATAAAAAATAGTTTAAATGTACGTAATTGGTAACTAAACGATTGCATATTTGATGCATGTTATCTACTTACTCTTCGAGCACGTCGTTATAACCACAATCTTTGAGTACACTACGTTGTTAACGACGTCTTCGAAGAGCACGTCGCAATCCACTAACACAGTGTGTTTCAAAAAGTTTTTCATACCCGAGAAAGTTTTGTTTTTTCAAAAAAGTTAATAATTTTTTTGAGACACTCTGTATAATAAATTGCGGCGGACTCTTCGAGCACGTCGTTAACAATGAAGTTTATTCGGATATTATTGTTAACGACGTGCTAGAAGAGTTATATAAAAATAATTCAATAAAAATAAATAAAAACAATTAGAAACAAAAGTAAATAAAAATAAATAAAAGCAAATAAAAATAAGTAAAACTAAATAAAAATAAATATAAACAAAAAAATAATTAAAAATATGTAAAAAAAATAAAAATAAATATAAATAAAAACAAATAAATAAAACTAATAAAAATAAATAAATAAATAAAACTTCTCATGGCTCGTCCTGGAAGTGAAGTGAATCGATAAAAACGATATATCTCCATTAAATTAATAATGAATTTAGCAGACTGAAATGAAATTTATTGTTATAGTAGGTCCAATTCCGTGACTAACAACTAAGACTTCTTATGGAATTATATATTTTGAACTTATAAGTAATTATTCCAACTCAGCGTTGGCACTTTACTTACGCGAGGTCAAAAGGTTCGATTCTTTAAAATCTACGTACTAGGTCCGAATTATCTATAAGTAGGAGTATTTCAATGTTTATGTATTTTGGAAATTTTGTTAATTTTTTTTGGAATGCATTCAATTTAGAAGATATTGTTGAAGCAAATAAAGACTTATTACCAGCTGTGTGAAGCTGGCGCCTTAAAATTAGTAAACTTTTAGTTAGATAGGACAATTTAACCCTAAAGCCCCTCCTCTAATTTACCCACCTATAAAGATGATCAAAAACTGGCGTTTAGTCTATTAAATACCTAATTTAAGTACCTAATTTCACTTAGTTATTTTTAAAAGTTTAGAAAATATTTACTAAAATGTGTAATCAGGACTTCACATTTAACACCCTGTATCTCGGAAACAAAACGTTTTCGGAATTATATTTATATAAACTTTTACTTCTATTTTAGGATGTAAATTACGCTGGTAAAACATGACCGTCTAATTTCGGGTCACCTTGTATATGTTACAAGTTTTCAACAGTTTTGCAATTTTTTTTTTAGAAAGTTATACTAAATTTTCATTTTTTGCAATTATAAATATGTTACGGACTTCAGAAAAAGTTGCAAAATAAAATTTACAATTATTTCAATTTAATTAATATTCCAACAAACTTTGAAAACTTTTGTTAATACAGGGTGGCGCAAAATGAAGGTTATGATTTGAACTTTTATAAATTTATCTTCTCTTTTGTTTCAGAAATTTGTAAAGAAGGCTTGCGGAATTTAAAATATAGCAATACACCATAGAACAAAGGACAAAAATCATCGAATTTTATTTTTCAAACGGAAAGTCAGTTATCCTGACGCAGCGTGCGTATCGCCGACATTTTAAGGGTCCAACGTGCGGGTTGGACCCTCAGCGCCAACAATCATTCGCTTGGTTGCTAATTTTCAGCAACAAGGTTCAGTAAGGAACCGTCCTGGTACCGGAAGACCAGCGAAAATATTGAACGTGTACGGGAGAGCGTGGAAGAGAGTCCTGAAACATCGACGAGGAGACGTTCGGCACAACTTGGGTTATCAAGGAGGTATCTTCAAAGAATTTTGGCCACATTGCACGTTTCCCTATAAAATCCATACTACCAACAGCGGCTTGATTATGCTGTTGCGTTGCAGCGAAAAGCTAGAGAAAATCGCGATTTTATTGACAATCTCATAATGAGCGATGAAGCCCATTTTGATTTAAATGGGTTTGTCAATAAGCAAAACAGTAGGATATGGGCTACGGAGAATCCAAGGGTGATTCATCAGCGAGAGCTGCACCCACTTAAATGTACTGTTTGGTACGGTGTATCGTCTGAAAGGATCATTGGGCCATATTTCTTCGAGAATAAAGTCGGTTCTGCAGATACCATCAATGCTGCCCACTACCGAAACAGGTTGGAAAATTTTTTGAGGCCAGCTGTGGCAAACCGTCCTCAAATATGGTTTCAGCAAGACGGTGTCACGGCTCATACCGAAATTGACACACTGGTTTTGTAACGGGAGATCTTCGGTGATAACATTATTTCGCACCGAAGCGATTTTAATTGGCCACCGCGCTCGCCGGATTTGACCGCTCCAGACTTTTTTCCCAGACAGCACACCAAATCCTTTGGATATCTACTGAACATCCCAATATCCACTGAATGTCCAGTCCATGGTGGATATCTATTTTATATCCATGAAATGTAATTTATAGACATGCAAATGTCCATAAATAATAGTAATTATATAGCAAATTATTAAAAAATTACGCCATTGTGCTCGCCATTGTGGCTAATAGTACCGTTCAGATATTTAAAATTAATTTTTTTTAAGGTGTATTCAATATCCCATGGACATCCACATATATCAAAGTCTTAGCGCGGACGCAAACCATCGTGGATATCTACTAGATGTAATTTTTGATTTTGCTTCCTAAGTATAGATGGCGATACCACTTTCGTATCTACTCATGCTCAACCCACCATAATTGAGTTGATCGAAAAAAATTTCGCTTAAGACTCTATTAGAGACTGGAGTCGAGAATTTCCATTTATTGCTGAAGAGTCCTAATAAGGATGACTTTTTCCTTAGTGGACAAATTCAAAGGCAGATTGTTGGAAATATTTTTTATCTCTATTTTCATTTTCTTCCGACGTTATTCAATAATCATTTGGTTACTTATGAATGTCTACTAAAGATACCTATAAAATATTTTGCTGAATATCTGAATTCTGACGGACATTTGGTTGGATATCCACAAAATATATTCTGTGGATATCTCTGGGATTTCTTGTATTGTCTGGAAGATACTAATTAGATATTTTGCTGAATATCCATAGGATATCTTCTAAAGGGTGTCCCAACAAGAGCGCCGGATTTAATTTGAAGGAAAAACACATTTATGTTTTGAATTAAGTCAACATTTTTATTTTAACATAAAGAAAAATGGTTACGATTAAACGTGAAATACAACATCAGGCAAATGGCCACCACGAAACCTCTGGCACAGAGTTATTCTTTTGGTGAAATTTTGAATCACGTTTTCGCATAAATGAGGCTGTATTTCACCAATAACGTGCCGTATTTCCTCTTTAAGATGTTCCACTGTTTCAGGCTTATTTGCATACACCTTTTGCTTCACATAGCCCCAGAGAAAAAAGTCCATCGGCGTTAGATCGCATGATCTTGGTGGCCAATGGTGATTGCCAAAACGAGAAATGACACGGCCTGGAAACTTAGTCTGCAGTAACACCATTGTTTCACGAGCTGTGTGGCAGGTCGCACCGTCTTGTTGAAAAAACATGTCCTCCACATTAATTTCATCCAATTCGGTCCACAAAAAATCCGTTAACATCTCGCGATATCGCTCACCATTAACAGTTAGCGCATTTCCAGCCGCATTCTCAAAGAAATACGGCCCAATCACTCCGCCAGCCCAAAATGCGCACCAAACAGTTACTCGTGGTGGATGCATTGGTTGTTCAAGTATCACACGAGGATTTTCAGCACCCCAAATCCGACAGTTTTGTTTATTTACATATCCGTCGAGTTGAAAATGTGCCTCATCTGAAAACATTATTTTCTTCGAAAAATCCGCATTAATTTGATGATGCTCCAACACCCAATCAGCAAATCCACGGCGTTGCGCATGGTCTCTTGGCTTGATTTCTTGCACCAATTGAACCTTGTACGCATGCAAGTGCAGATCTTTTACCAAAATTCGTTGCATAGTGCCTCTGGAAATGTTTAATTCTTGACCACGATGCCGAATGGAAGTTCCCGGATTCTCGGTCACAGATTCCCTTACTGCGGCTATATTTTCGAGTGACCGACAAGGACGACGACGTACAATGGTCTTCTGATCCATCAGCGTAAATTTGGTCTCAAATTTTGTAATTAAACGCCTCACTGTCGATTCATTTGGCGCATCATGACGACCGAAAATTTGACGTAAATGGCGAACTGTTTTCGCAAAACTTTCACCATTTTTGTAATGTGTTTTTACAATAATTAAACGTTGTTCATTTGAATACTTCTCCATATTCTTAAATCGCGCGGTCTGTAGGTGACATCTGTCAAAAAAAATTGACAGTGCAACTCGTATTAACAAAATGGCGGCAAATTTAAATCCGGCGCTCTTGATGGGACACCCTTTATATTCTGGATATAGACGGACATTTGGATATCCATATTAGATCCACGGAATATTTCTGATATCCTGTGGATATATTGGATATCCACAAAAGATATTCTGTGGATATCTCTGGGATTTGGTGTGTTGTCAGGGTTCTTTGGGGCTATTTGAAAGAAAGTCTACGTTAATAAGCCACAAACCATCCCTCAAATAAAGGATAACATTCGCAATGAAATCCGTGCCATAACACCTGAGATCTTGCAAAAAGTCATGGAACATGTGTTGGAAAGAGCACGACTTTATGAAGCAGAAAATAGGCGACATTTGCGAGACGTAGTTTTTCACACTTAGGCTAAAATTATTTCCCATTTATAGGCTACATTTTCATAGAACAATGTTGAAAATTTATTTAAAAATAAAAAAGTTACAAAGCATTTAAATCATAACGTTTATTTTGCGCCACCCTGTTACAATAACTCAAATTGCTAAAAAAAAAACAACAAAAAGATAAAAACCGTGACAGCTCCCGGTTTCCCGTTGGGCCAGTCCGTCTCTGCTTTTTATGATTAAATTTTATTCCCGAAAATACGGAAACATTACATAATTTGGTTCGGATAAACTCATTTTGCTAACAAAAACATCTGACTCGCAAAATAACACAATAAAGAGTTCAACAAACTAACAAACATTGATAAACATTTAAAAATACGTCACTAATCAAAATCTAGTCACAGAACATAGAACTATAACGCGCATCTCAAAAATTTAAAACCTAAAATATTGTAGTGATATAAAAATCAATCTAAATACACCTACTGATTAAAAATTTTTAAGTACTTACCGTTTAAAATTTTCCTTTCCACTTGTATGAGTTTGCTTTCGGAAAATTTAGTCCAATATCCATCCCTACGATTTTTACCCCCGTCAGCCAAATTTTCAGAGTCCGTATTCCCTTCCATTTCTTCCACAAATCATTAAACTAGCTGCCCAGCTGACATTACATTGGAAACGCGCACTACGAAATTTTTGTAACGAAACGAGTGAATATTTAAAACCAAATCTGATAAGTAACTAGAAATTTACAAATAATTCATGATAAGATGAATGACAGAGCAAAATTTGATGTTTATACGTTTGATTTCATTGAACGATTACGAACGGTGCGAAAAAAACCTTTACGACCGAGCTAATGTTTGGTAAATAACACGATTTTAAATATATAACCTTGTTCTGTAGGATTTCACTGCGTCGACCTTGCGCTATAGTGGACTCCCTTAATTAATTGATGGTTAATATGAATCATTTGGATAATGGCGAAATATTTAAAAAACCCGAAATTAACGTAATGCGTTGTCGATTAAATTATCTGTTAAAAGCGGATAGGTATTTACTTGGATAGAAAATACGCAACTATTATTAGAATAAAGTTTGGACAAATCTATTTTTATTTGAATATGACGCAATACGCACTAAGGAATAAATGCAAGTACACGTGGTTGTAATAAAATTTGTACATTGTACCTTATCTTTTATCTAATTTGTCATAAAATATCAAATCTATAAATATAAAAGAAATGGCTAAGTTGACAGTGGGCGTAACCTTAGATACCTAAATAAATGAAATATATATATATATATATATAAGTAAAGGGCTCCGTGTAGAGGCAAGGAGAAATATCCCTATTTACAAAAAGTATCCCTCAAAGTGTATGAAATTAAAATGGCGCTTCTGTACCAGAGGGTCGCCGACCACAAAGCACCTATCCTCCAGAGACTCCACGCCCACATACTTCAATATTCTTAGGAGAATGGTCGCACTGCGCAGCTTTCTGAGTACCTTTTAAAAGAAGATCGAAAACTCCGCCATTTTGAACACTTATTACATGTTGCCTACATCTTGGCGCAATAGTTTTAGTGGTTATGTTATAATATTTACAAAACCATTAACTAATAATGAATATCTTGAAAACTTTGCTTTACTTGGTGATTTTATGTTAAATTTCTCCATTTGTAAGTAACAGTAACTACTTTAATTATGTTTATTCTAAATGCTTTAGCTAAAAACGAAATATTTAGATTTAAAAAATGATGTATATAAATTAATACAATAATTAATAAAGGAATGGGCAGAGCTTGGGACTTTGGATTCGGCAATTCGGGTTTAAATCCCATAATATTTAATGACGTATATCGTTGACACATCGATGGCTTAAGTGCAAAACGTCGTAACCCACAAAATTTCAAAAAATCGCTTTTCGCGTCATTGGAGTCGTATGTTTTATCTGCGTCTTGTGAAAAACTATCGTAAGCAACAGTATAAAATGAAATTAATTTTACGCGCCAAAACAAAAAGTTGCTCTTTGAAATTTCATCCAAAGTCTATTTGGTTTTTTATTCCCCTGTAAAATTTACTTTTTGGGGTTACGACGTTTTGCACTTAAGCCATCGACATGTGGAAATAAATATTTACCTCCATAAGATAGAAAAACAAATTACTCTCATTTTCATTGTTTTACAATATAAGAAATATAAGATACAAATTTAAAAAATACTGGGATTAAATTAAAATGATTTCACTTTCCGTAAGTACATCTTAAGCCTTGGTTTCTTTGAACACTTCGTCGCGGTGAGCGGACCGTCGCGTTTTGACGATTTTATCCAACCAGCGTATTTAAATGGGAATGGTTTTCTTGAATCCGCTTAGCTGAGCAGGACGGCGTCATGCCGCTGATTTGTTGCGAAGAGTCGGTTGATATCTGTTGAGTTTGATATCAGCGGAATCGTCGGCGTGTGCGGAGACTATATTGTTATTAATTTTAAAACAATGAGTGACAAATTCACACATACAGATGAAATCATGACTTTATTTTTAGGTTTCTTGGAAATTATGTCCTCTATAAAACTCAACACGAATTCAAAAAGATCTGTAGAAAGTCTAACATACTCCCTAAATTTGGTTTCATTTCCAAAAAGCCTCCGCTGCACAGTGATATTAAAGGCACCTTCTGTATCGCGACACAAAAACAACTCATCCACTGGCTTATTGGAAACTTTGACGGTTGCAATCACAAAGCACGTATCTTCTAGAGACCCCACGCCAATGTTAAACTTTTAAACCAAATTAGCGCCACCTTGTGTTTGGAGCTGGAACTAAAATGACAATTGACAGATGGCGGTAAATTCAAATTGTAATTTTTAGGAGTAGGTAGTAGTTTTAAATTAAATTTTAAATAATTTCCACATAAATTATTTTATAAAATAAAGTATGGAACCAGTAAGTTCGAAACTTTTATTTTACAAAATAATTTAGGTCGATTATACCAAATTTAAGGAATTAATTTGTTATAAGCAAGGGTCCTGATGTGGAGAGTTGGTTCTGCATATTATTATTAAATAAATATAAGATATATCAATAAATAATAAAATAGAACATTCTTAAAATATGTTTATTAATAACTTAAATAAATATTATTAGATAAAAATAGATACAAATAATAATACATATTTAACGAATACTTACTTGCAGCAAATAGGTATACAATCTCAAATCTTTAAAATACCTATCAATAATTTAAATGTGAAGTAGAGACTAGGATATTACATTTTATTAACACTAAAATAATATATTTTATAAATGTCTTTTAAACCGAGGACAAATATAATATAGGTATTGTATTAAAAGGTGAATCCTTTTAACTATTCATTCAATGATAAATAGGTATTTTCCTTCCAAATACAGATGGTGGTATCTCCACTGCTTTGTGTATTACTCTCTTATGTGAAAAATGATTTCGGAATCTAGTCCAGTGATAAATTGATTATCAATTAGTTGTTATACCCGTTTGTCTTTTTATGATGCAGATGCATGGTGAATCAATGAAGTTTTTCTCGAAGTTTTTCAACGTAGCACCCACAGGTAGCACCAACATTATTGCAAAACACAGTAGGAAATAGAAAAGCGAAACATCACAATTTTGCAAATACCTAAGACGAAACTATAAACAGAAACCAAAAGCCAAAGCCAACAAAAAATCACTAAAATCAGACGGAAAAATGAGACTAACCAAAAACATAAATAAATACACGTCACATCTTTGGAGTCTTTGGTTAAGTTTTTCTCCCATAAAGCTTAAAAATGGAGTAAGAAATCAGAATTTCACTAGTAGCCCCATCTAGAGTTTGGAGCAAATAGCATAAAAAATGTCAGTTGTCGGTTTTGACCTTGGTCATTCACGTGGAACTAATGAACTGGAGTGGAGTAGAATGCTTGTCAATAGGCTTGAGATGCGACTCTATGGGCGAAGACAAGTTATTTTTCATCTCACTCGGGAGTATTTATAACGACCATTTTCTATTTCACTTTGTTATTGTCTGATCCACCAGCCTGTGGATTGAACAATAACAATGTGAAACAGAAAATGGTTATTATAAATACTCCCGAGTGAGATGAGAAATAAAAATGGCTGCGCCCATCGAGTCGCATCTTGTTCAATTGATACAATATGCACATTAGCTTTCTACCCCACTCCAGTTCATTGCGTGGAACCTCTATGTGCTTTGTGGTTGCAATTGCCAGTAGACTTGGAACAAAGGTATTCGCGATTCAAATTAATTTTCGCGCGCCTGTCATTTGTCACGTATAAGTAGGATGTTTGTTTATTTACGTGTTGTGGGATTTTGTATTTGTGATTTTTTAACTGTTTTTAGATAATATTCTTATTATAATAGTGTTTTTGAGTTTCATTTAGTGTTAATTTAAGTTTAGTTTCCGTGCTTTCGTTATAAATGTAATTTTTCATGTGTAGTACGAACTAATTTGTTGGAAATATTGACCTATTGGTTGCTACAAGAACATCTAGAAATATGTATTTACTAAACCCAGGACATGTTTTATTATGTGGTTTAATGGACATATCAGGTACCAAACGTTTATTATTGATGAACTTCTTTAAAAATCTTACTATCCTTAATCTTATATCATGAAGTGAATTGTGTAGTACTTTGTATACATGTAAATGGTAATAAAACCGTCACAACTCATATTGGAGTTTGATTCTAAACAACGTTTTGCAAAATTTCAATATTGTGAATTTGTAGATACCCATTTATCGTAAGAAACAGAATTTTATGACTTGCACTTGAAAAATAATGAATACTCCAGTTTTGATTTTGACAATAACACCATACAGATTGCAATTTGCTGGAGGCTTTTGCGCAGATTTCATTTTTAATTTAAATACTATCACATACTATAAGAAATAAACAAATTTAAAGCTAAAAAGTAACAAAAAACTCTAATTGTAATTGATACAAATTAAAATGTAAACAATGAACAGGAACGCCAATGTTGCCAAATGATGAACTGATTTTGTCTCTGACTGATTTTAAAACTAAAATTAATAAATGAACTGATATTTAAAAAAAAATCAATATAATAAATCGATTTTATAAAAAAATCCTTAAATAAATAGTATGATTACATATTACTAGACACAAATTTTGATTCTTAAATAAAAGGTCTTATCCATTTCTTCAAGAACTAAAATCCGACGACGTAACGAAATTTTGCTGCTTCTGGCAACACTGAACGTCGTCCTACTTATAGGGACCTTTTACTAATTTCCTCCAGAGGGCGTATCACTTAGCTTGAATCGCGAATACACATCACAAATCTTTAAATTATCAATATATTTAAATGTAATATATTTTATAAATGTCTTTTTATTTGAAGAGACATTATCAAAGCGTATTGAAAAGCGTTCAATTGCCGACGCTGTATAACGGATGGCCTAAGCATCTCAAATATTCCTGTACTTACTAGCGCCTACTGGGGTGCTATTTTCAAAGTCGAGAGAATTCATTTCTCTCGAGAGAAATGTCATACGTCAACGTAAATCAGTATTTTTAGGGTCCTAAGGGCCAGTGTAAACTCACTGATTGTTTCTCACGGTTTATTTAGAGATAATTAATATCCTCCTAAGAATTTTAATCCTCGAAGCCTTTAAAAACAGCGTTTCCACATTGACGTATGACATTTCTGATGAGAATCTTGAGAGAAATGAGTACTCACACGGTTTGAAAATAGGTCCCCAGGTCGATTGCTGTACGAGAAATAATTGATAAATTTGGCTGGTCGTGTATGCAACGGAAAAATTCAATGGCGCGCCGGACAAATCTTACTCGAGGGCCGCGCGTTTGACCCACGGGCAGCTCATTAAGAAAAACTAAACATTTTTGTCCTAATAAGATAAAGTTTTGTCTGTGTAAGTAGATAAATCATTCACAAAAATCTATTTTCTGAGAATTATTTTAATGATTTTTTGCAGTTGGCACCTAATAAGGATACTAACTTTTTTCTACCTACATTGTGCAAAAAAACTATATGAAAAATTAAATCACGATAACATGTTGGCTGCTGTAGGCAACCAGTTCTTCACTTAGAAGTATTGAGTATTGTCTGCATTCTAGATCTGTGCTCCATACATTATTTTTT